GCAATCCTTGGTTGACCTCACAGATTGCAAGGACTTTGTCAGCTTACAATTCCTTATTTTTTATTTTTTACACCTATAGTACCTGGTCTTCCTAGGTGGTCTCCCATCCAAGTACTAACCAGGCCAGGCCCTGCTTAGCTTCCGAGATCAGATGGGATCGGGCTCGTTCAGGGTGGCATGGCCGTAGACTCACAAATGCAATTGGTGTGTTCCAGCAGCCACATTAAAAAAGTTAAAAGAAATATATAAAATTATTTTAATAACGTTTTATTCCATATGAATTAGCCAAAATAGTATCATTTCAAAATATGATTAATATAAAAAATAATAAGTGAGCTATTTTGTATTTTTTCATACTGTATCTTCAAAATCGGATGTGCATCGTACACTTAAAACACCTCTCGATTCAGAATGGCTGCATTTCAAGTGTTCAAGGCCACATGTGGCCCCCGTATTGAACAGAGCAGATCTAGAGGCTTGTGTAGATTCAGCTTCAAATTTTTTATGTGAGAACACTTCGTACGTGTTGATGTAGATTCCCTGTTATAAAACTCCCTGTCAACCTTTCTCCAGAGAGTTTTGGCATCCACCGACGACCACTTCTAAATCCATTATTTTATTAGGGGCTGCAAAGTCGTGATTTTCTAATTCTGTTATTCCTTCTGCATTTATTAGACAGCACTCTTACTCAGACGAACTTGACCTTGTTTGCTCTTCGATTACTCCAACATATAGTTTATGCAGGAAAGGGGGGGGGTATGTGCTTATTCTCCTATCAATTTTCAGAGAAATGAGTTGGTATCCAAACCACCTCTGGGGTCTCTTTACATCATGTGAACTCATCGCTTTCTATATTTGCTACCTGTCAATACATTGCAGTCATTATTCTTTTTAATGCGAAAAACTTCCCATCTTTGGCCAATAGGACCCTCTAGCCGGCTCCTGGGCCAGTTTTGATAGCTTCCCTGCTTTCTGGCACAATCACATAGGCCCACCTTGGCCATTTTCTGCTCTACCAGAAATCCGCTATTACTCCAAGGAGCCCTGGTTCCTCTGTGTTCCAGGCATCTTTAAAGGATTCTCCTTGGGACAATAACATCACCTAGAAGAACTGAACACAGTTGGGAATTGAAAGCACCAAGACGAGTCAACAGAACGAAGGTTTTCTCCCTTCCCGGTGGAGAGGGTAGCAGGAGAGGAGAAAGGGAGACCTCAGACGTCCTCACGCGGCTCCGCCTGCCCTGCTCATCCTTTTCTCTGGATCTCGACTCCCCATACCCTTTACTCTGAAGACTAGAAGTTTCCATTGCCATCAAGTGTGAGTGGGAGTTCAGCCAACTGGGAACCCGGGGGCCGCACCTGACCTCCCTCTGCGAAGAGCCAGAGCCTTTGTCCAAAGTTGCATCACTTCCCACCCAGCCCTTCCTGAGCCAACTCCCCGATGTCTGCGGGAGGACGCAGTCGGCCTAATCCCAATGACATCAGGGAAACTCCCGTTGCCAGCAGTTTCTCCTTCAGCTGCAAAAATGTGCCGCGGTAGACAGGGTGTGGGCTTTTGAAGTCTCTGCAGGAAGCAGAGTTGTTTTCTCAACACCACATCTGAGCGCATCCTCAGCCGGTGTGGAGCCCTTCCGTTCCCTCTCCCTGTCCACCACCACCCCGGATGGCCGGGGAGGCAGACCCCACACCACGTGCTGGGTGTCAAGGATGCCAGAGGACCAGCACGGAGGAACAGAAAATAACGGAACCTGACACCTCGTCTGGTTTTCCTGAGCAGTCTTTGCTCAAAAATGTGATAACTATCACTGCGCTGAAATCCACATCAGCTTAGGAGAGTCTCTCAACACCTGCCACACTCCACCGGTGTGGCCATGGGTCTCGGATGGTCACTTGGTATCGTTACCACATCCCCTGGCACTGCTGGCCAGAAATGTTTATCATCACAACTTCTTCACTGTGCTCCCCATCCCAGGAGACAAGGAAAGAGCAAGTCCCAGCTTAGCAACACTCGGACACCTGCCAACTGTGGTGTGCAGCTCAGAGGACAGCCCTCTGTGGTTGTGGGCCTCCTGTGGGCCTGGGGTGCTTTCCCAGGAGCTCTGTTTGCTCCTGTCAGCAGTCCTCTGGACAGACTTTGGGTCCCCATTGTCTAGACAAGTCAAGGGTCCCCAGAGGTTAAGTCATTGTCCTTAGATCACACAGTTGGCTCAGGTCAGGTCTCCATGTCTGAGGCCAGGCTCTGAAGCTCCCGCTGGCCGCCATTGGGTATGGATGCCTCCCCTCAACCAGGAACTTCGTGTTTATTATCATATTTAATCCTTGTTCCACTTCATAAAGTGGCTCATAATGCGACCTCTTTACAAATGAAGAGCCTCGTCTAATGTCACTAAGATTTGTACGTAGGCCAGATTCCAGTGCTTGTGCGTTTTCCAATTAGCTGCCCTGCCTTTCACGAGTAGATAAATTCTCCATTCCTCCCAACCCCAATTTCTAGCTCTGTGGCCCTTTAATGCACAAAAATGCAAAGACACATGGGATGCTTCCATGTCTGAATGGCATTCCCCCTCTGGTAGCCTCAGGAGACACCACAATAGGAGGCTGGAAGCTGGGCTCCAACTGGGTCCAGGGTTTATGAGGGTGTGGCCCCGTTCAGGCCTCTGGAGCATTTAATAGTCAACATTTTTGTTTGTTTGTTTTAATACGCTTCAGAAAAAGTACAACTAGCACACCAAATCTATCATTTAAAATAGTAATTAGGATGAAGCTATGTTTTTAAAAGTCCTTAAAAATAATAAGGAACTAATGGTACAATTGGTTCACGGGTGTGACAAAAATCAAGACTGTAGGTGACAAGTATGAGAAATCTGTGTATTCCGGTGTGTAACAGTTCTCCTGCCCCCTGTACCCCTCAACCAGGACACTGGCTTTTTAACGAGTTAAAGATAATGATTATAAAACAGTACTGAGTTCTCTAGCTAGAATCATCTATTTATCACTATCTAAAAATGGGAATATGGTTTCCTTTCCTCTGGCACATTAAAGTAAAATGGAAAACCTAAAACAAAGAGCATTCTTTCCCTCTTTATGTAGACATCCCATGAGATTTACCGAAAAACTACCTTTAATGTTGGGAGAGTTTATGGGAAACAAGAACCCATGCCAAAGATAAACACTAAATGGAGTGACGATTTTCTAGGAAGTGCTGTGTCCCGCTGAGGCAGCAGCAGCTGGCAGCTGAGCGAGGTTCTGGCAGCCCGTAGAGCCACGGAGGACTGTGAACTGTGACGAAGAACGCGCTCATCACTCATCCCCGCGGGAGTGGGAGCGCCTTCTGCGAAGCACGAGGGTGTCCACTTATCTGGGGATTTCCTCTGGCATTACAGAAAACGACACGGAGGTCTCTCCATTCCCCGGAATGGGAGGTGAGAGGCCAGCCAGGGCGTCGACTCTGTGGGGTCCAGAGCCTCACTCATGATCATTCTCACCGACAGCTCAGACAGCCTGGCAAACTGACTCATCCACTGCCCGGCACTGCACAAGGGGCAGCCTGAAGCTGGCTTTCCAAAGCTGAGCCCCACCGCCCGGAAGAAACACGCCCCCGAGGCTGTTCTGCACACAGAAATGTTCATCATGGCACTACTGGAAACAGCGAAAAGTTGGAGACCACTACGTTCTTCGTGAGTGGGAGACTGCTGTAGCGTCATGTGGTATGCCTGGTATGTCGCATGATGAAATGCAATGAAATTACTTGCAAAAGATAACAGCAGATCTACGTGAGTCGCCAGTGAAAAGAAGCCCAATGTGTTTAAATGGGAAGGATGAGCTACAGAGCCATATGTAGCGTGTGATCCGATTTTCGTGTATAATGCATGGAGGAAGGTCTGGGAGTAAATCTGCCTATGGGAGGGGGCGTGGCGGGGCTGCTTGATGGATTTGGGGGTGGGGGGTGAGGGACGGATCTAATGATGCTGCCTCGCCTTTCATGATTTGCTGTCCTAGGAGAGAGAAAGAGACTTTGACTAAATACGGATAAGCGGGTAACCATGCTTGTTTCCAGGACCCTCTCTGGGAACGTGGGCTTTCTGCCCTTGTCTGGGACTGGGAAGAACCTGCAGTAGACATGCCCAGTGGGCCGCCCTCTCTGTCTGTGGAGGCAGTCGGACGCCCTGCGCCCTGAGGACCAGCCAGCCCGGGCGAAGAGGCGGGGGCCTATCCCGCCCTGGGACTAGAACCGCTCCCCCTTCCCTCTGCCACATTCACTTTGCGAGGGCCTACTCCAGGCCAGGTGTTGGAAATAAATAGCGAGCCCTGCCTAGTGAGGGATGCCCTGCAGGGTGGGAGCCTGGCAGAGGCAGGGCTGGTAGCGGGGATTTCAGACAGGGCAGCAGGTGCAAAAGATGTTTTGGGAGAAGTGAGCTTCATCGAGGTGATCGAAGCAGGCCAAGGAGGCACTGCCCGAGCCTTCGTGGGAAAGCGGGTTCTCGGGAGCAATCAACTTAGGGATCGAAGAGCTGGGCTCGAATCTCATCTCCACCACCCACCTACTGGGCGACCTTGGGCAAAACGAGTCACTTAAACCCACAATTTCCTCATGAGTAAAATAGGGATCAAAACAGAACCTGTGTCCTAACCCATGGGATTCTAGTCATACTGACTGCGATGTGTTTAATTCACTTTCCGCATCACGACGTCCTCGATGAGTGCTGTTAGGATGTCGACTAGCTCTCCTGGGAGGCGTAGTGTGGCCTCGTGGCTGCTGCTCCCACTGCTTTAGGACACTGGCCCCGTGACACGGCAGTTTGACACAGTGGTCAGGTGCCAACCAAAAGTGCCAATGGCGGTTGGGTGTGCAGACTCTAAAAGGCATCAGGGTAAAACTCTGTGACCGTGGGCAGGTGACTTTCCCTCAAAGAACATAGGTTTTCTCATTTTAAAATGGAGACTATGATACAACTTACTACATAGGCCTGGTGAGAGGATTAAGGACAGGCGAGAGCGACATGGACGGTGAGCGCCATGACAGTGGTCTTGGCGATGATAGTTTAGATTTGACACTAAAAGCACGGGAAGCAGAAGCAAAAATAAACAAGTAGGACTACGCACAAAAAGCTTCTGCACAGCAAAAGAAATCACCAACAAAGTGAAAAGACAACCTATGGAATGAGGAAAAAAATAGTTCTAAACCACATACCTGATAAGGGCTTAATATCCAAAATAGATAAAGAACTAACACAAGTTAGCAGCAAAAACACAAACGATTCAATTTAAAAAATAGGCAGGGTATGAAAGAATAGACATTTTCTGAAAGAAAACATACAGATGGCCAACAGGTATATGAAAAGGTGCTCAACACTGCTAATCATTAGGGAAATGCAAATCAAAATCACGAGACGTCACCTCGCGCCTGTCACAATGGCCGTCATCAAAGACAAGAAATAACAAGTGTTGGCAAAAATGTAGAGAAAAGAAAATCCTCATGCACTGTTGGTGGGACTGCAAATTGGTGCAGCTGCTCTGGAAAACAGTATGGAGCTTCCTCAAAAAATTTTAAATAGAACTGCCTTATGACCCAACAACTCTACTTCTGGGTATTTATCCGAAGGAAACAAAAACGCTAGCTTGAAAAGATGGCCACACCCACATTTTCCCTGCTGCCAAGACGGGGAGATAAGCTACGAGTTCACTGATGGATGAAGGGATGAAGAAAAGGTGTTTTACATACATATAATGGAATATTATTCAGTCATAAAAAAGAAGGAAATCCTGCCATTTGTGACAACACAGATGGGCCTTGAGGGCATTATGCTAAACGAAATAAGTCAGAGAAAGACAAATACCATATGATCCCATATGTGGGATCTAAAACAAAACGAAACGAAACAAAAACTCTGAGCTCATAGATATGAAAAATAGATTGGTGGTTGCCAGAGGCAAGGGGGCAGGGGTGGGTGGGTGAAATGGGTGAAGGGTGTCAAAGGTGCGAACTTCTAGTTTCAAATAAATAAGCCCTGGGGATGTAATGTACAGCGTGGAGACTATCTGAAAGTTGCTAAGGGAGCAAGTTTTAAAAGTTCTCATCAGAAGAAAAAAATTGTGACTATGTGTTGATGAATATTAACTAGACTTATTGTGTTGATCCTTTTGCAATACATACAAGTATCGAATCAGTATGTGGTATACTTGAAACTAATATAATGTTATGTGAATTGTATCTCAATTAAAAAAAAAATCCACGTAAAGCAGGTGAACATTGCTTGACGCAGTTAACTCAGGGTAAGCTCCTGGCAGGAACACTGAGGAAGGGTCATGCACTCGATGGTGACTAAGGCTGGACTGGGGGCGTGGTGAGCACCCCGGTTGTTGGAGAATACTGCTTCATTTCCTAGCAGGAGCCATGAAGCAGCCACACATGCCTGGTAGTCTCTATCATGCCGATTCTCTGATTATAGCATTAGTCACAGATAAAAATGTGTTACATCCCAGGGTGTGAGGCTTCACATTTTTTTTTCCTGAAACGAGCATGGGGTCTAAATAATAAAACCAAAAGCTGGCTATTTGAAAAGAGCAAAGCTAGGGATTTCTACCAGTTTTAAGGGTAAATATAAATCAGTGGAAGACAGCTATTCTAAAATGAATTAAATGTATAAAGCTGTTGATTTCTGAAAAAAAGATCTGAGGGGTTCCAGGAATAGCAGGGGCTCCCAGTGTCCTTAGAGCATCATCGACCTCACATCCAGTCATGCTGGTCCTGGAAGCAGACGGGGGATACAGGGAGGCAAGACACTGATTGCATCATCGATCTCCCAGCATCAGTGATGAGGCGTGTGCCAAGTGCTGGTGAGCAGCACAGCAACAGAGCCTTTGGAATTTCGGAGAAGCCTTGAGTCCTGAGGCCTGGGGTGAGTCAGGGAGGAATTAGGAGGGGGTGTGCGGAGTCACACAGGATGATAAGAAGGGACGTCTCCTCCTGGGGAAGGTCTTTGGTACCAAAAATGAATCCACTTTAAGTCTCTTTACATTTGGTAAGAGATGGACTAGAAAGGAAAGAAAAGAATTTTAGGGATTAGTATGGCAGAGAACCAGTGAGCAAGGGTTTCTTGGACAGAGTGAAACCAGACGTGAGACACCAGGCCTCAGGCCACCATATCCCTCAGAGAAAGGCACAAACTCAGACAAAGGATGCGGCTTAAAAGCACCTTCTGGACCAGGCCTCAGTCTATTTTTCAAAATTAATAGATGTTCCAAGCCCATAATATGTCCTATAAACCTGGGGACAGATCAATACATTGAACAAACTCCTTTGAGGGTGTTTGTGTGACCTACAGGAGAGCATTATATATGGATGTCACACGCATTATGTATGGATGTGGCGTTTGAGCTTTGCTGCCTTTTTTTCCAATCAGAAACTGAGGATGTGCGTTTTCTAGCCTCTCCTCCCCCCAAATAAAGAAATTCTAATAGTAAAATGTAGAAACATTCGCAGTTGCGTGTGTGCCTGTGACTCAGGGAGGTGGAACCCAGGTCCTACAGTGGGGCTACCAGTAGCTCCCTGTTTAAGACAGGCCTGGAGTTTAATCAGTGAATGACTGGTCTGTCTGCTCCCATCGATGGCTCCAATCAAACATCAACTGGGGAGGACACTGTTTCCGGAGTCAGGGTTCACTGTGAAGCCTGTGGTTGAATGCCACCCCCCCACCCCTCCTACCCTACCCAAAGATAGGTCCTCCTAGAACCTGTGAATGCCACGTTATTTGGAAAAAGAGTCTTTGAAGGTGTAATTAAATTAAGGCTCTTGAGATGAGATGAGATCATCCTGGATCAGGGTAGGCCTTAACTCCAATGACAAGTGTCCTTATGAGAGAGGAGAGGGCCATGTGCGATGGAGGCAGAGATTGTAGTGCTGCAGCCATGAGCTGACCATCAGCAAAGCTCACCGGCGGCCACCGGAAGCTGCAGGACGCAAGTGGCGTTGTCCCCTAGTGCCTTCAATGGAGCACCGCTGGCCGATACCTCGATTTTGGACTCTGGCCTCCGGAACTATGAGACAATGCATTTCTCTTGTTTTAAATAACCCAGTTTGTGCTAATTTGTTACCAGCAACCTCAGGAGACTAATACAGAGCCCTCGCATTTTCTTCCGATGGCATCTAACAGATGTTAGTTGAAAGGGCTTTTTTAAATTATCAGTGAAGGAAGCCCCCTCCCATTAAAACTGGCCAAGTACCATAGTCCAGATCAGAGCGCACTGGGCTGAGGAGAGGGCACAGTAGAAAGGGGCTGGCGCTGGAAATGACTCCCGAGCTGTGCCGCTGGGGGACTAAGTCACCTTCTGCCTTGTCTGTCGGGTGGAAATACTATGGAGCAGAGCAAACTGGGTGAACCGTGGGAACGCACCGTGTGGACATAAAGCGTTGGCGGCCCTGCCACCATCTCTGCCACCCTCAGGGTCCCTACCAGAAAGAGCCCCCTCGTTGAGGTCGCAGACCCACTGGCTGTTCACCTGCGGGGCGAGGAGAGAGAACGCAGCATGTGAGCTCTGCAGCCCTACAGCTGTGTGACCCTGGGCGAGGTCCTCCCCCAAGTCTCAGCTCTTTATCTATAGAGCAAAAATGATAACAAAAATATATAACCAGCAGTGCCGATCCTGAGTTATCTGTAAGGGTCGAGGAACTTACTACATGGAAAGTAGTTGGTGAGCATAATGCTCGGGCCATGGTCGGCTCTCTGCACAGCCGCCTGCCTCCGCCATTCCTCTGCTCCGACAATGAGACATCCCAGCGCACAGCCCCGGCGCCGTGAAGCCATCACCCGCACCTCGCCCGCCGCGCCTCGCCCGTCCTGAACGCAGATGTCATCACCTCGACGAGGCAAAAGGAATCGGCCAACTAACAACTGGGGTTTAGAGCCGGGTGGAGGGGGAAGCCAGAGGCAGAGGAAGTGCACGGACATTACTGTCACTCACCACAGGGTCTCACTGGCTCCAGCCAAAGTTGAGAAATATAATCGATAAATTATCAGGAGTCCATCATCTTCACTGTTTTCAATAATAAAGAGGAATTTTTTGAGTTAATGTTTTTGGGGTATAAAATCACTTCTCTAAAGGTTTGGCAATACCTTCGGTTACTTTTTCTTCTGTGAAATGCAAGAAAAATTTAATTTTTAACTTAAAACGCCCACATGTTGAATAATTTCAATTTTATAAAAATTTATCTATCTGATTGTATTTTTCTTCCCATGGTTCAATAAGTCTGTATGCGTACAAAGGCATCCAGGATGATATTCAGCAAATGCTGACAACAGTATGTTATGATGTAATTTTTCTTTGTACTTTTCTGTGTTCCTGAGCATATGTAAAAAATGTATTGTTTATAAAAACAGCAAAGTTATTTTTTAAAACTCATCTGTTGGTGCCTAGAATAGGCAAATTTATATAGAGAGAAAGTAGACTGGAATTTATCAGGGGCCAAGGGGGGCGGGATGGGGAGTTGTTGCTTAATTAAGGTACAGAATTCTGCTTGGGACGATGAAACAGTTCTGGGAATGGAGGGTGGCAATGGTCACATGACATCACAAACGTACTTAACGGAACTGTACACTTGAAAGTGGTTAAAATGGTCAATTTCATGATAATAAATATACATATTACACATATATATTTATAATAATAATAATAATAATAATAACAACAACAACAACAACAACAGCTTATCTGTGTGTTTCCCGCCCCGGACACCAGGACAGTAAATGCCTGGGTAGCCCATGTGGCAGGTGAGCCAATGTGGCTGCATCTCCGGTTCAGTATCTGCATCGATGAAGCATTAATGATTTAAGCCTTGGAGGAGACTAATGTGGTGATTTCAGGATCTGGGCCAGGGGAAGAAAACCCTGCTAAATAACTTAGCGTGGAGGAGGGGCTGGGGTTGAGGACAATCTCTCCTGTTGCCCTTGACGGCCCAGCAGGTAGGTGGCGGCTTTCTTCTCCTTTGCAAAACTGGCCAAGAAGGTCTCAGCCTTGGAGCTGCTCTTGGATTTCTTTGCTCTGTACCCTTCCACTCCGCTGTGTGTCCCGTGTTGGCCCAGTGATCCAATAACCAATTCCAAGTTTACGTCTCTTTGTCTGGCCTGGAGCCTGTCATCTTCCAAGCAAGCACAGCCCTGTGCTGCGTGCTGTCTGAGGAGGACAGATGGATCAGTGAGTCGTGGGCTGGAGACAGGAACTCAGGCCCCACCTCCAGCTGGCCAATTCCAAGCCCCTTAGAACCTCTGTTGTATGTTGCTGCCATGGCAACTGCTGGGGAAAACACCTGGCCAAGAGGGAGCCTGCCAAGGCCCACTGGAGCAACAGCAAGGGACGGAGAGGGCATTTCCGGGACAGGCAGTGAGCAATTAGGGAGGAAGGGGCCGGATCTGAGCCAGCCAGCCTGAGCAGTCTGGAAGTGCTTGACCGACCCAGAGTTTAAACTACAGAGGCTGAAAATACAATTTTAAAAAATCAATATAATTGCTTTTATAAGCGCTAAAGACAGAAGGACTGTTGGTAAGCTCCTCTCTCATTCCTTATTCCAGGGCATGATGACCAATAAGAGCGCTGGCCTCCACTCCTGGCCCTTCGCGGGGGGTTATAATTACAGCAGACCTGCACAGAGCTCCCGGGCACCCTGGCCGGCCCAGGCAGAGACCAGCTGTTCGCACACGGACCGGAGAGAGCCGTGGCCGCAGACACTAAGCCACGTTCCATGAGCGCCCCGCGTGTGAGCCCGGCTCCGCGGTGCTGTTGCCAGTCGCGGGAGGCAAAGTGGCTTCCCCGTGTGCGTTCCTCCTCTCCACCCCACCTCGCCCCACTTTTTTTTTTTAACATGGGGTTTTAAATTTCACGTTCTGTGATCTAACTCCCCATTTCCCACTCACAAACAAATGACATCTGGCCACTCTCAACAATAAACTTGGAAAGATGAGACATTTCCTGTTAGTTCTCCATGTAACCCCTGCTTAAACTTTCAAATTCCTGCAAGAATTGCCTGAAAAATAAATGGATCATTAAAAAGTGAGGAAAAGGGACAGGGGGAAACTGCCACGAGAGCCCTCTGACAATGCTGATGAGTTCGTACCAGAATTTCAGCATTACTATTATTATTATTATTATTATTTACCATGGTTTAGCTCTGAAGGATCAAGACGGATTTGTTATCCCACACAACTACCTAGTGCAAACAGCGATTGGAAGAACCTTCCACCAGGCTGCTGGCTCGGACCTCACGGCTAACTGCCCAATCCCTTTAAGTGGTGGTAGAAAACATTATTTTACAGTACTCGTCTTTTTCTTAGCCCTCTGCTTATCTGTCTACTTGGTTCCTAAGGAACGGCACACGACCTCCGGCCTCAACAGCTACACAACTCTGGTCACGCCTTTCAGGTCTTTATTTCCCAAGGCGAACCTTCTCGTCTTCGGCGGCCGGCTGGGCACTTCTCGGAGGCCCTGCCCTTGTCTCACCTTTGGCATGAGTAAGGCTGCTAACTGCTCACCAGCCTCCCAAAGCCAGCGCCCTTTTCCGCACTTCCTCTTTCTCTCCATGATGCCAGCTTTCTCCAAGACCCAGGCGCGGGCCACAGCGCCACCACGGAGGGCCTGGGCTCTGGCCCCACTCAGCCCCTGGGCACGGGCTCCATCCTATCACATCACGCGCGTCCCTTCTGCCCCGTCCTGCAGCCACCGAGCTTCCCCGCACGCTTGGCAAGTCCAGTGACTTCCTAAGAGGTGCCCCTCTGCCACTTCCTGTCCCCCCGCATCCAGGAGGCTCTGACCGCTAGCCCTTCTAATGCCACGTTCTCGTCCGGCCTTTCCCACTCAAAACCTTTCCATGCGCTCTCCACGCTCACGCACAGTGTGGGTTCCAGTGGGCGGTCGCACGGTCAAGGGCACGGCCTTGCCCTTGGTTTGATGCTCTGCTACTCTGTCTTGAAACTTAATAATTTCTGACCAAGGGACCCCGACTTTTCAGTTTGCGCTGGGCCCTGCAAGTTTGGTCACCAGCTCCGCTTCCGTGCGAAGTCCAGACTCCTTAGCCTGGTATTAGAACTGGTGCGATTTGGCGGGTCCCTCCCACTGAATGATTAGACCTTCCGTCAACCGGTCACTCCAGCCACTGATATCGATAGTCTCTTGGCACCAGATCACGCTGTGCCCACCCGCTTCCACTCCTTTGTTCCTCTCATTCCTCTCTCACGTGGCTATACGTCTCTCCTCCCCGCCGCCTCCTCCTCCTCCTCCCTCTCTCTCCATTTCTGCTCATATTTCTCTATCCTCCTTCCCCACTATCTCTCGCTACTCTCTATCCATTCCTCTGGCAACGACAGCCTCATCTGGTTCTTACGCTTCTTGTTCTTACTTCCTCTTTTTGTTCCCTGAGCCTTGCCCCCCCGCAACCAGCAACTGTTAGGGGGCGGGAGCTTATGAGTCAGTGCCATCCTTACGATGCCTCGCAGAGTGCATGGTGACAACCGGCTGACGGGCTATTTCTCCCCGTGTCTAGTGAGGGTGTTAGAATGTGTCTGGAGTTTAACAGACACAAAGTGGGTTAAATTTACTCAGGCCAAGTGTAGAAACCTGGAAATAGTCATGGAGTCCCTGTATATATTAATTCAATAAATATTTATTGAATGCCAGCTTTGTGCCAGGCTCTGTTCTCCTCTGAGCAGTAAAGAGGCAGCTGGCAGAGGAGTCGCTAGCTACTTGGGAGTCACAGACAGCTCCAGGGGTGTCCTGCTGCTGGGCTCACACGGGCAGCCTGGCCCCTACTCAGTGTCGTCCTCAGGCTCCTGGGAATAGTCTTCGGCTCTCGGGAGGGGCTGGCCCAGCTCCGTCTGCCCCAGGTGTTGGTAAGACCAGGTCTCGGATCTCATCCCTCTCTGCTGTCAGCTCTCCCTGGGAGGTGGTTTATAGGAATGATGGAGAAGAAAGCACGGGGACTCGTCCCGACCCTCCTTGCGCGCCCCCTTATTCTCGGAAAATCTAATTCGTAAGGAATTTGTCCAAAGCAATGGTTCTCCTCTGAGGCCCCTCAAAACCCTGTCTTTTCCATCATTCATCCGTTCACCGTGGCGATGAGCTGCCTCTCTGTGGCTGCCTATTTGGGGTGGAACAAGGGTTATGGGGTAGAAAGAAATATTGGGGAGCACAGCGGTTAATTTTTTAAAGTCAGGTAACATCTCATACTCCGTTGTTTAGCAAATACTAACGGAGCACCCACGGACCAACCACACAGACAGAAAACGGCGACAGCCCCTGGCCCGTGGGGCTCACAGCGCGCTGCCCAGCTTCCCATCTGGAAGGAATCGCAGATTCCTCCCGTGCTAAGTCAACTCTTAGTCAGCTCTTCTGAGCACTGCCGTCCCAAAGGGAAATCGCTTCTTAGACACAGAACAAGAAGAACCGTTCGACTGCTTCTTATAAATACAGATAAAAAGAACAGAGAGCTCCGGGCAGGAGCGCAAGCTCACACTCACACGCATACTCACACGCGGACGCAAGGTAAATAAATACTGTGGTTTCTTTGACCGGTGACCTTCTTCTTCCTTAAAATCTCCTCCCTCAGAGTCCGTTACACGACAGGTATCGGAAAGGATGTGGGCACTTTTATTTCCCTTCTGCCCTTTCCAGAAATCAAGGGACAGAGGACAGGGGCTCCTGGCGGCCTCTCCGAGGCAGGTGTGTTTCCAGTCCTGCGAGCAGCCAGAGGGGCGACGGGTTGTCAGCGCCGAGGGGAAGAAAACGCCCAGCCAGAACGCGGAGTGGGAGCCAAGCTCTGCAGCCCGGAGTCCGGCCTGGGGTGTCAGGCCAGGAAGCCACCGCGTGGTCAGTGCAAACGGCGCCCAATCCCTCGCTCCGCCGCTGGGGCTGCGGAAAACTCTGGCCAGGACGATCCCCGCAGGGAGGTGCGGGGCGCTCAGGCACAGGAGGCCGGCTGCGAGCAGGAAGGGGAATGGTGAAACGCCCCGAGGGCCCAGTACAGAAAGGAGGGATTGGCTCTCTCAGGCCGCAAGATCGCCTCCCGAAAAGGCTAATTTTTAATTCAGGTTTATTTACGATCATGAAGGAGAGGCATGTTGATTTCTGGTTCTCTGGTGAAATGTTTTGGATGATGGGATTTAAAAAAAAAAAAAAAGATAATATGTCATTTATTAAGCTACTCATAGGAAAATAAATATTTGGAAAAGACGGCATTTTTCTCTAGAAGTTCTTACAGATCCAAAATCAGAATCCGGCACGGAGGAAGGCAAAGGCATTTTTGCACTCGTCGGTGTTTGTTGAATACCCAAGAGGTCCTGGCCATTGCTAGGCACTGAGGGTCACGGCAGGTAAGACAGAGCCTCATTTCTCACGGGACTCGCTGCCCACGGTGGGAGGGAGATAAATGCCCGGCCTGGACTAGGAGGAGGAGGAAGGGATGGCGAAATTCCTGGAATAGCTTGCATAATTTGACCTGCTTGAACTCTCCAAGGGCTCCCATTTTGTTCTGAGCTAAAGCCAAGTGTCTCTGTGGCCTTCCGGGCCCCGCCCCGTCTGCCCCCGACCCTTTCCTCTCAGGCCTCCTCTCCTCCCCTCGCGGCTCCCTCCCCCGCACCTACCACACTGGCCATCTCCCCAGACACGATCTAGGGGCTTTCGACTCCCGTTCGCTCCGCCTGGGACACCCCTCCCAGACGTGCACTCAGGAAAGCGTCCTCCTTCAGGCCTTTGTCAGCTATCGCTGTCTCTGTAAGGTCTTCCCCGCACCCCCAGCACACCCCATGAAGCATACGGAGGACGGGGTCCATGGCTGCACTTTGAGAACCGCTGCATTAGGATTTCATGGGAGGCCTGTTAACATGCAGCTCCCCAGCCTGTCCCCTAGAGATGCTGTCTTAGTGGCTCTGGAGAAGAAACGAGAGGACACTGCATTTCCCAAAGCAGCTCAAGTGATTCTAATGACGTGGTCCAAGTCCACCCTTTACAAAAAAGATAAAAAGGGAAGCCATTGAATGTTTTCAAAAGGGAATGACAAGATGAGACCTGGCCTACAGGGTGGCCTGGGGACCACAGTCCTAATCTCTAAGATATTGTGGGTGTCCATCAGGGGCCAACTAACAACATCCTGTGGGCAAAACCCAGCCCTCTACCTGTTTTCTAATAAAGTTTTATTAGAACAGCCACACCTATTCTTTTACATAATTGTCTATGGTTGCTTTTGGGTTAGAATGGCAGGGTTTAGTAGTTGGGACAGAGACTATATGGCTTGCAAAGCAAGAAAATATTTCCTTTCTGAAATTTCAGACAATTTTGCCAATCCCTGGTCTAAACCAAGGGCTGGAAAGCAGCGAAAAAGTGATCATTATTTAGAAACGAGATCAGTTTAAAATATTTGCAGGGAAAAGAAAACTGCATTTGTGATTGTCACAATGACTGCGAGTCTCTCTTGCCGTGGGCTGTGAGCGCTGAAGATGCTAAACCCTGCACATCCTATAAGGCAGGGACCATGCGGCCCCATGAACTGCCAGCTGAGAAATGGTGGCCTTAGACCAGACTGAACCTCACGTATGTAAAAAGGTCTAAGATCTACTTTTTTTTAATCCAAAAGAAATTTTTTTTTTTTTTTTAAATTGGCTGGTGAGGAATTACTACACATTTCCACGTGGGCTGCTTTTCTGTGCTGATAGGACTCCATCACCATCTAATGAGACTCGCTACGAGCTGAGCCAAGCTCGCACATGGCCCAGAATCAGCAGGATGGAGGATGGGGCAGCGCCATTGGTGGCCGACATCACATCCAAGTTCCTGTCTCGTCGACTTGTGGGTCGGTGCAAATTTATGAGGCCACAGGCCAGGTGAAAACAATGAACTGGTGCTTCTGGGGTAACAGATCGGCTGCTGACTACATGTTACTGGGAATGGAAGCTGGAGTTTGAAGAAGGCTCCACAATATCCGGGGATGCAGGGCAGTGTGTGTTGGCAGCCTGAACTTGGCCCCACGGTCACTCGGCCCTCACAGGCCGTGGGGCCAGAGAGATTTATGGACTCCGAGGAGCGCATGCGACCGAGGCTGCTCAGCAGAGGCCGTGCATCGTGAGATTCCAACTGTCAAAGAGCATGTGGGGTTTCTTCAGTGGTCCCAGGACACAGCGATTTCATCTTTAACACATCAGTAACTTAGCCTCTGGTTAGTGGAGCTCACTGGGGCATGACTAATCAGCGGATGAAAGTGTCTTTGTGGGGATTAACTTTAATGAAAAGAAAAGGGATAGTTATTTGGGGAGTTTGAAATCTTCCATAAATCAAAGCGAACACTGACAAAGCAGGTTCATAAGGTAAGAATGAAGCCATTGTGGGAAAAATTAAGGAACAGCTACTTTTTCTATAAATCACAGGTCTGGACTACAATGGCTGATGATTCCATGGGAACGGGACCATTTAACTTCTTCAGGTGTAATGGAGTGATATTTGGGGGACGGTCGACTCTCCTTAAGGGAAACCAGATGTCCCATGTCCTTATTAACCCTTTCCCACCGACACGCAAAATGTCTAGCCATGGGCTTATTGAACCTTCGAGGGAGTAAGCTCCACTTATTCTGGATCCAGCTTTCAAAGTACATCTTGAACCCACCCATCCCCTACCCAAGGGCCCTATCATTTAAAGTCCATCCAGGAAACCATGGGAATGACTCCGTGTAGCCAAACGACCATGTAAAAAGGACATCTCTGTCCTGCCAAGAGCTTAGGCACCGGACTCGTAAGAATGAGCCAGAGCTGGACTCCACCGTAACCGAGTGATTAAAGTCACTCCACCAGTAACAGGTAAAACCGACATCACGTCCCTCCTGATGTGACGCACTGAGGACACTTAACTCATGTTGTGCTCCTGCCCGAAAGCTGTCGCCAGAGCCTGACCATGATGAAACTACCGGAGAAACTCAAGTTGAGGGAAATTCTACTAAATGACTCACCTGTTCTCTAAAAACTCAATTTTGCAAAAAACAAAGAGATTCTGAGGAACTATTCCGGATTAAAGGAGACTAGAGATAGGACAGCTAAATGCAATGTGTCATCCTGGAGTGGATTCTCAGCAAGACAAAGGTATTGCTATAAATAGCATTGGGACGAATGGTGAAATATGTGTATAACCCGTGTTTTGGTAAAAGTACCGTATCGATGTTAAATTTCCTGAATTTCATAATTATATAGTAGTTACGTAAGAGACTATCCTGGTTTCTAAGGGATAAACAAATATTTTGAGGTTGAAGTTCACGATGTCTGCAACTCATTCTCAAAAGTTCAGAAAAAATTACATAACTTACACCTTGGTGGTAAACCAGATGCCTTAACAAACATAGTAAATGTTATTAATGGTAAGAGTGGAAGGGAATAACACTTCTGGGAGGCATCGCAAAAAAAATAATTACAACTATCTCGGACAAGGTAGTGTGTGTGTGTACGCGTGTGTGTTTGGGGCATATCATCCTTTTATCTGAGATTTAAAAAAATTCCTGTATGTATTCACACTTCACGAAGACTATTTCTTTCAAATAAAAATTATGTTGGTCTCAGCCCTGACACTTTATTCTTTAAGAAGTCTTCCAACACAGAATCTCATTTTGTCCTGTGCCTATATTTCCCTTCCCACCGGCCACTGTGAACAGTCACAAGGGAGAGACTCTAAGCTCAGTTATTAATAAGCTAACATATGAGACTTACTTCATGCCAGACACTAAGTGCTTCACATAGATCGCTCATTTATTCCACGGAGCAACTTTACACTACAAAGTGAGGAAACTGGGCTACGCAGGACTAAATAGCTTACTCAAGGTCACAGAGCCAGTAAGTGATAAAGGTCGCATTCTAACAAGTCGGCCTGGCTTCAGTCTGTGCCCGTAACCAGTCAGCTGTGCTGCCTCTCACGGTGACCTGTACCAGTGGAAACCGGACCTTAAGACAGCGTAGCTCACTTAATTCACTGTTACAACATCTTGTGTCAAGTAGGTATGAATGCAAAATCCAGGTTATTCATAAAACATTAAGTCAAAAAAGAGATCCCAAAGGAAATAGAAATCAGAAAATATCTTGAACTGAACCAAAACTGGAAAAACCCATTATATCAAAATTTGGGCAGCAACTAAAGTACACTGAGTGAATAATTTATAGTTTTGAACACATACTGAAAAGAAAGAAAACCTAAAATCAGTAATTTAATCTTCCATCTGAAAAAGCCAGAAAAAGAAGACTAATTCAAACGCAAAGTACGAGGTAGGGAATAATAAAGATCAGAATGGAAATTAACAAACGAAAGAGAAAAACAATAGGAGCAATCGAGGAAACCAAAAGCTGGTTTCTCAAAAAGACTCACGAATCTGATAAACCTTTAACTAAACTGACCAAGAAAAAAAAGAGAGAAAGCACAAAATACCCAAATCAGAAATAAAAATGGTATCATACCTAGAACTAACAGCTAACTGTATACTTAGTGCCAAAGACTAAATGTTCTCCTCCAAACATTGAAAATAATGCAAGAATGTCTGCTTTCATCACCTCTGTGCAACTGAATGTTCTAGCCTGTGCAACAAGACATGACAAATAAATTAAATGAATGCAGATTGGAAAGGAAGAGATAAAACTTGGTAGACATTCATATGGAAATGGAACGGTCTTAAGGCACACAAAGTAAATCTGAACATTTCGAAGCTTGACTTGAAACACTTGCACATCCTGCTAATCTGCGATTCTACTCTGTGCACGTGCCAGCCGACAAAAGAAGGTCTCCATAAACTGCACATCGTCATGCAATGGAGCGGTATGCCTCCATGAACAAGACTGAGTTGCGACTTCATCCAACGCTGATGACTCTTAAAACGGTGGGTGAAAAAAAAAAAAATCCCGGAAGACTATATACTAGCATGATGTCGTTTTTCTTAAACTCAAAAACAAGCAAAAGTAAACAATATGCTGTGTAAGCATACATACAAATGTAATTATGTATAGTTATATATGTGTACATAATTATATGTATCAGTGACAAACCCCCAAATTCAGGATAATGATACCTCTGGGAAGGAGGCCTGGGACCCCAATGAGGAAAAAACATTAGGTATATGAATTATTGGCAATGTCCTAGTTATTCAACTGGGTGATGGGTTCATAGGTTTTCATTATATTATTAAGCTTTGTAACATAAATATACAATATAACGTGTATATATTAAAATAAAAATGTAAGACGAATTTTTAAATAAAAAAATTCTAGGATGCTTTAATTTGTCACTCTTTTTGAGGGACTGCCATCTCTCTGTCAAGCCGCATTTCACGTCTGAGGAATCATAGAGTTAAGTGTGCGTGGCTTCTGATGCCTGCAATTACTCTGTGGGTTTGAGGCTGAGTGTGTTTTACCAGGCCAGAACCCGCCCTCTGGCACCTCTGATGGCTCTTTCTTGCTATACGTCTCACTCAGTTGTTACTTTATCCCTTCTGTCTTCGGTGGCTTTGTAATGTTCCAAAATTTTCCATGAAGATAATTTCCAGAAAAATGAGCTACTGGGTTTGGAGAGCAAGCTCAGTGGCTCACTCACGGTCCCCGCAGCCAGGCAGGGAACAGCCTGGTTGGCATGGCCACTTAGGTGACCCGCCCAGGCCTCGGGATCCCACCAACCACGCCTCCCAAATTCTCCATATGGAGTGGAAGCCAGAAGAGCCATCTCTAGCATCTCCATCCTCTCCATCATTTTTCCACTTCATTATCTCCATCTCCATCTCCTCTAGCTGGGTCTCAGTCTGCACCACTTCCCAGCCTTAAACAACAACACGGCAAGGCCTCCTGGGCTCCACGAACAATGTCTTCAAGTGGACAAGGGGTGGATACTGGCCCGGGCTGGCATCCTGGCCTGAACCTTACTGCAGAGCAGGGCCCCAGTTCCATGCCCAAAGCCAGCTGCCTACCTCCATTTGTAAATAAAGTTTTATTGGCACACAGCCACACTCATGTGGTCTATGACCTCATTTATGTCGAAACGGCACTGTTGATTGGTTTTGACAGGAACGGTGTGGCCCACAGAGCTATTTACTATCTGGCCTTTTACAGAACAAGTTTGATGACCCTCTCCCCCATTCCCCAGTGCCCAGGACTCTGTGTCTATCTACCTGCTGAGGGGGAGACCCCCATATCAGACCTGTTAGCGGACGGGAAGCAGCATAGCAGGGAGAGGGTGCTGTAAACACCCACCTCTGTTCTGCCTTCAGAAGACCTGGGCTCAAGTCTAGCCTGCCACTGAATGGCAAACCACCAAATTTCTCTCTGTCTCTACCTGCCCATGAGGTGGATGGAAAAGCCAGTATCTGCCTCATCTATATGTCTATATATCACTGTATGTCTGAGCCTCTCAAACGAAAAAGCAGAGTCCAGAGAGTGATTTCCCAACTTTGGCAGGCATCGAACCACCTGGAAGGCTGTTAAAGCACAGTGCGCTGGGGCCGCTCCCGGAAATTTGGATTCAGTATGTTTTGGGAGGGGCCCAAGAAAACCGCATTTCTTACAAGTTTCTAAATTGTGCTGTTACTGCTGGTCCAGAGGCCACACTTTGGGCACCTTTGCCCTGGATGAGTGAGTGGTTCTCCACCATGTCTGCCCACAAAGTCACGAGGAAGCTTTAAAACCCCAGGTGCCCAGGTCACACCTAAGTCAGACTCTCTGGGAGGGAATCCAGACATCAGTGTTTTTAAAAGCTTCCCAGGTGATTCCATTATGCAGCCAAGGCCGAGAATCACTGAAGAGAGCATCAACTGGACACACGGAGGAATATGTGAGTCTTCTTGTGTGATGCTATGTCATTTATGACTTGTAAAAATGAGATCAAACACAGACATATTATAGACTATTATACAAAATCTATATGAATTGTCCAAGGTATTTTCTGTTTGCCATGAACTGCTTACTGCTTTAGGTCACATCCTGCAACCGAGGGAAGCCGTAATTTATGTGAAAGCACCTTGCAGTTTGGAAGAAGCCAAGATGGACCTGTATTGTCCTAGGCAGTCCTTGTCTAAATCCCTCCACAAATCTGCATGTGATGCAGCCATCGACAGGATTTTCAGGGTTACCTCCTCCTGCTACCAGCCAGGAACTTACTCCCTCCAAAATACTCTTGGTCTATTTCTTTCCTCCACCAGCCGAGCCACCACCCTGGCTCACCTGCCCGCTACAACGGCCTCTGACTGCGTTCCCCTGCGTTCCTTACCAATGACAAGCTCGGTTTCACGAAATGTGAATCTGATGTGTCTCTCTCTTGCCCGAAACCTGCCATGGCTTCCCACCGGCCCCAGAATAAAATTGAAGCCCCTTACGGTCCTACCTCAGCGATGCTGCAGGTTCGGGTCCAGACCGCCATAACGAAGCAAGTATCGCGATAGAGCGAGTCGTGAACTTGCTGCTGGCGGAGGGTTCCGCCTTCCGTTCGGGAAAGTCACATCACCTGTGCCACGCGCTGAAGCGGAGCACGGAAGGCGAGGCGGACCGGCACGTGGCCGACAAGCCCCGCCCACGGCCCCGCCTCCAGCCTGGCCTTGCTCCCTCCGCTTCCCGGCGGCTTTGAACCAGGCCGCTCTCAGCTCCGGAAAGAACCCGAACGCTTCCCATCCACGGCCTTTCATCACCTCCGCGAATCTCCTCATCCTTCAGACGTCGGCTTGAAAACATCGCTCCAGACTGCCTGCCCGCGCCCCCTTACGCGAGGCGGGCCCCGAGTTCCGCGCTACAGCATCTCTTTTTCCTGTCCCTTTATAACGATTATCACAGTGTGGAATTATTTTGTTTTCACTTATTTTTTTTTTTAACTTTTTTCCTCTCTCTTTTCTTTCTTTCTATCCTCTAGAATCTAAGTTTCTCTAGAAAAGGGACTGAGTCATTTTGTTCTCCATGGTGTCCCCAGAACCAAACACACCTGGAAAGTTCTCAGTGAATGTTTATTACATTAAGGTTAGTTTAGTGTTACTATCAGCCAACTTTGACTTCTCGCTCTCGTCCACACAGTGACATGACATCCAGGGGTCGGAACGCCCGTGCTCATACGATGAGCTGGGCACAGGAGTGAAAGAGGGCCAGGCCTCAGAAGGGGCAGCTGCCCCTCACACCTGCCAGCTGTTGCCTCTGATGCTGGATCTTTCAATGTTTCAAGCGATGCAGACAATCCAGATCTTACATGATTTTAAGATCTTGGCAACTAGACTTAAAGAAAAAAAAAAAAACCCTCTGAGAGGCCAAAAAAACCCACGTAACACATCTGTGGGCTGGTTCCCGGCAGAAGGCTGCCATTTGTCAATCCCTCCTGGAATTCAGATGGACTAAATCTGTGATCTACCAGCCTAGTTGCCCTATCAACAGGATGAGCGAGGTTAGATGTAGTTTGGCTTATCAAAGCTTCCGAAGAAAAGATAGTTCTTTGAACCATGAATTCGACTCTGGACTTCAAGGGCAGTAGGCCCAACGACGGAGCAACCTCAGCCAGCCCGCCATTCACAAAACGTTCCTTCGCACCTTGCAGGTGCCGAGGATGGGGCAGCCCTTT